AGGTGGCCCAGCACTGGTTCCGCCCAGCAGGAAGGTCGGGCAGGTTCGAGGTTCTAGGTTCGGGAAGGTTTTTCTGCATTTTTCGGCCTCTGGGGGGGCGCTCTCGGGCCCCAGGACAGTGAAAAACTGATCTGGGGTGAAAAACTGCACCAGGTGGACCCGGGGATGGATCTGGGGATCGATTTTGAACGGATTTGGCCTGATCCCCCCCTCCTGGCCGATTTTCTGGGGCCCCAACCAGTTCAGACCCTCTGGCCGCCTCCAGCACCTACCATCTTTGAGACGGAGAACCATCGCGAAGTCACAAAGTTGTCTGACACTGGGACGTGATGGGAGGCGAGGGGCGGGGGCGTTCGTCGAGTCGTTGCGAATGTCCGCGCTCTCTCTTTCCCTCTCTTTCTCTTTCTCTCTCCTCTGTCTCTCTTTCTCTCCAGAGCCACTGAACGGGGGAACATATCAAGGGCGTCGTAGCCAGTGACCGTGATGGGCGATCCCTGGCTGGACACGTGGTTCGTGGCACGTCGCCTCAAACATTGAGGGCTGCTGGAAAGTAGTACCCGCAACAAGGGTTTATTGGCACTTCGAGTGTCCCTGCCTACTAAATCCGGAACTTGTTTTTGGACGGGGTGTCTTGAGCAGAAGAGTGGAAGAGCATAAAACAACACCAGGGGGCGGGGGGGAACGCTTGTGAAGCCGAAGTGCGGATCAGCCCGAGCAGCTTGCCATATGGCCAATGTGGGAACTTTGAGGAAGCCTGTTGGAACCAGCTTGTGGCACTCTTGGGGCCCTAGTGGGTTCCTTTCGAAGCCACCCCCTGGGAGCCACATAATCGTCTTTGGGGGCCCCCTTGGAGCTCTATTGTGGTGCTCGGGGACCATCGGAGTCATCGGAGGGCGTCTTGGAGTCTTGGTGTCCTTCTCGGCCCCTCTTGGGGCGGGCTCTCTTGCGCGATCTTGGGGCCATCCCCTCGGAAGCGAAAAGCGGAGACGTCAAAATACATAACACAAAAACGTTTGCCGGGCGTGGTCTCACAAGGCCGGTGTCACAATCATTTGTTAAGATGTTTTGCTTGATTTGTGCTCCTCTTCCTCCCCTCTCTCTCTTTCTCTCTCTCTCTCTCGTGCGCGCGCGCCACGCCGTCCCTATGCGTTCCAGGACTTCTACAAGCTACCAGTAACACGGTGCGTGTTTGCGAGCGCGCGCGTGCGTGTGTGTGTGTGTGTGTGTGTGCGCGCGCGTGTGTGTGTGTGTGTGTGTGTGTGTGTGTGCGTGTGCATCTGCGTCGCAAGCCGCAGTCGCGCCAGCCGTTTTGTTTTTTTTGCGTTCGGAGTTCGTTTTCGGAGGGTCGGCGGCAGCGAAAACCCATCGGGCCTGAAAATCGAGCCCGAATGCATTGGGGGAGTTTCAAGCTTTCACGTGCCCGGAATTCGGTTTCGGAGGGTTGGCAGCAGCGAAAACCCATCGGGCCTGAAAATCGAGCCCGACTGATCTGGGAGAATTTGTTGTTTTCTTGCGTTCGGAATTCGTTTGTCGGATTTGGGAGAAATTCCCCCAAATCCGTCGGGCTTAATTTTCAGGCCCGATGGATTTTCGCTGCCGCCGATTCCCCGAAAGTGAAATCCGAGCACAGGAATGCATGAGAACCCAAAGATCCTTCGGGCTTGATTTCCAGGCCCGATGGGTTTTCGCTGCTGCCGAACCTCCGAGAGCGAATTCTGAGTACAGGAAAGCATGAGAACCCAAAGATCCTTCGGGCTTGATTTCCAGGCCCGATGGGTTTTCGCTGCTTCCCACCCTCCGAGAGCGAATTCTGAGTACAGGAAAGCATGAGATTCCCCCAAATCCGTCGGGCTTAATTTTCAGGCCCGATGGATTTTCGCTGCCGCCGATTCCCCGAAAGTGAAATCCAAGCACAGGAACGCATGAGAACCCAAAGATCCTTCGGGCTTGATTTCCAGGCCCGATGGGTTTTCGCTGCTGCCGACCCTCCGAGAGCGAATTCTGAGTACAGGACAGCATGAGATTTCCGCAAATCCGTCGGGCTTAATTTTCAGGCCCGATGGATTTTCGCTGCCGCCGATTCCCCGAAAGTGAAATCCGAGCACAGGAATGCA